GGGCTGGGGGTGGTGGGAGCTGCCGCGGGGGGGGGGGCGGCAGGGCTCGGGGAGGGGGAAGGGCACAAAGTGGAAGTTTTGCCTAGGGCGAAAAACATCCTTGCACTGGTCCTGCTGGGGAGTGGGAGTAAATGGTGCTGAGACTCAGTGATTGCAAGGCAGATTCCTTCTCTGATGGATTAAAGATGAGGGGTGAAATCCTGACTCCACTGAAGTCAATGACAAAACTCCCAGGATCAGGATTCTCCCAGTATCCTCCTCTTGTAGAAACCTGTGCTGCTAATAATCCTACTGATGAAGTGAGTGGCAGCAGCCATCGGCGCATGGGAGGTAAAACGTTGTATGGAGATCTTTTTAAAAGTAAAAATAATATAAGGCCAAAATGTTCAAAAGCTTGGCTAGGCAGAAAGAGCCATTTCTGTACCTATTTGGGGACACAGGTGTGATTTGAGTGATATGACAGTTCTCCACACCTACCCCACGCCTCCTTCCTGCTCCACTTACCGTTGAAATGCTATTTGAATAGTCAACTCTTCTCGCTGTGCATCGTGGATTACAATCTATGTCGTCACAAGGAACTATTCTTTCATCCCCCCAAACACTAGGGCACCCTTGAAGAAGAAATTAAAAATCCAGACTTGAGAAAGTTCTGTCCTTTCAGTCACAAAGGCTTTTGGTTAATATTGGGGTTTGAGGTTTGGACGTTATATAGTTTAAAGATGTTTTGCATTAATTTAGTGCTGGTTTGACAGCCACAGACTCTGAAGGAAAAAGAAATCAGGAAGCAAATCATCCCACGCTGACTCAAGGGTGTGTTGGAAGGGATTACCCCTCTGCCCCAGGAGCCCCTTCTTAGAAATCTGTCCATGAATCGAAGGGAAAATTAAGATGCTTTTCCTGCCTCACGTAGACCTTACCCTCTGTCTGGATCTTGGTAAACAATCTGTCAGAGACGATTGGTGACTTTATGGTGTATAAGTACCTTCACAGGGAGAACATACTGGGTACGAAAGGGCTGTTGAATCGAGTGGAGAAAGGCACAGGAAAAGACAAGGCCGTCTCCAGGCACCAGCAGAGCAAGCACGTGCCTGGGGCGGCACATGCTAAGGGGCGGCATTCCATCCATTCTTGGGGCAGCGGAGTCCAGGCAGTTTTTTTTTTTTTTTTTTGCGCTTCGGCAGCCCGAGCGGTTTTTTCTTTTTTTGCTTGGCGCAGCAAAAATGGTAGAGCCGGCCCTGGGAAAAGACAATGGCTGGAAGCTAAAGCCAGACCAATTCAAATGAGAAATAAGGCCCCAGTTTTTAACAGTGATGGTCATTAGCCCCCAAGGAGTAGAACTCTGCAACACACAAGAGGTCCATACTCCCTCCAGGGCAGCCCAAATTCTCCCGCACCCTCTACCCAGTCAAACAGTCCCGATTCCACTGCCATGGGCTCCTCTGCGTTTATGGAAGAGGGGCCACAATTGGCTTCTCAGAGCCCAGTAAGCAAAGACCCACTCAGGTACTTGAGAAGTCTTCTCAAAAGCAGAGTTTTCAATATGTCTTCCTTATAACACTTGGCAAAACCACCCCAGAGCTTCATTATCAGCTATTAGTAGGTATCCGTGGACTATTTTAGTGGTTCTTTTGGAACTTCAGTACTACACTAAAATAGATAAGACAAGTGGTTCTCAACTTTTGAGGGCTCAGGGCCCATTTGTAAACCTTGATGGCCTGTCGTGACCCAGATCATGCCCAAGATACCCCTCAGACCTGATGTGCCCCCCGGCAGGGGTTCATCAGGGAGATATCTGGGGTACCCCCACCAGCAACTGGGGAGAGGACAGCGAGCTGAGAGATGCACCCAAAACACACAGCTCCTCCCACGGTTGATGGGGAGCAGAGGGTAAGGGGCGGGTGGGGATTTGTGGGCCTGGAGGTGAAGTGGGCATAGTGGGGAGCCTGGGGGACATAGTGAGGAAGCAGTTGGGGATTCTGGAGGGCTGGGGAAGGAATTGGGAGGGCAGAGGGTTGTGGGGTGCATTGTGGGGATGATGTGGGGTTAGGAGGAGGACTGGTGAACCAATAGCTCCCCCCAAAACACATAACTCCCATGCATGGCCAATGTGGGGCAGAGAGTAAAGGACTGGGGAAGTTTTGGGGTCCTGTGGCAAAGTGGGAGGTCTGGAGGAAGGAGTAGGGGGCTGAGCGTGCAAGGGGATTATCTGGGGGCCAGGATAGCTAGTATGACAAAGGGGTATTTGCCTGGTTGTAGGACAGAAGGTACAGTCTGGTACGTACTGGAGAACATGACACCAACTGCTCCTGTTCCCCCGCGGTTGGCTGGACTTGGCTGTCTGCTCTGGGGTTGCACCGCTCAGGTTTGCCCCAGCCCCTAAACGGGGAGTTAGCTGAGCCAAATTTGTGTGAGTGGCATTGCAACCTGGCACATGGGATCACAATGCAATTTACTCAGTTTGGCATCATGATGGGTGGGGGACTGAGCCAAACTGGAGCAGCGGTGCAACCCCATACCCCGGGTCCCAATGCCCTGAGCGGGGAGCTGAGGCCAGAGAGCCCTGCAATCCTTTGGCACATTTGACAGTGTTGGGTTGTGACCCACAGTTGGTAGAACCTGATCGAGTGAAGCTAACTAGTGGGTTAGGGCCCCATCCCGAGAGGCAGCTGCACCAGTCACTCAGTGGAAAGTGGAGAGAGCATTAAAGGGAGCCCCCGCTGATCTGGAACAGATATTCCGGGTGTCATTTTCCATCCAGCCTGGGTTTTATCATTTCCTGTTCCCTGAAGATGTCGTTCTCTAAAGGAGAACCCCGTGTTACTGGCACCTTAGACTGGATTTTCCCAGGGCCACTTTCTATCTGGACTGGGGTTTCATCTTCCTTAGTCACAGGGGGTAAGCCCTTTAAAACTCCTCCACCGCCTTCATTTTTAATCATTTTCCTTCTTTTTTTAAAATTCCATTACCTTATATGGAGCTCGTGATTTACATCAGGGCGACTGAGAACAGGATCAGGCCCCACGTCATTACTTTACTTTTGCAGTAATTCTTTCAGCTTCCAAACCAACTGTGAGATGGCAGAACCTAGGAAAAATGCATGGGAAGGGGGGAGGTATTCAAACATGCAATCCCCCATTTGCAGTAATGGAACTAATCGAGTGCCCTAACCCTATGGCCATCGTTCCTCCCTGGTTGTCTAAGATCAAAGTTATTCAAAGCCCTCCAGCCATGTACTGTTACCCTAATGGACCTTCTTTCTCTTTGCAGGGAAGTGCTCCGCCCCACACTACATTGAGTTTGCTGAGATTACCATTGACAGGATCATGGTGGGCAGCAAGGTGCGATACAAGTGTGAAGCTGGCTATAGAAGGATACTTGGGGAGAGTAACTTTATTGTCTGTATTAATGATACTGGGCTTATTCACTGGACCACAAAAGCTTCTGTATGTGAACGTAAGTGATTACCATCCTTCATAGAATCATAGAATATCAGGGTTGGAAGGGACCTCAGGAGGTCATATAGTCCAACCCCCTGCTCAAAGCAGGACCAAAACCCAACTAATTCCCCAACTAAATCCTGCTAGGTCTAAGCACATCTTCTATATGCACAGGCAATTTTCAATTGATTTAGCTATTATAGTGGCAACGCAATACTGTGGTAATGAATTGCGTTTTGTATTCTTACTTCTCCCTGGCAAACCCGCCACCCAGATATTGACTCCCACTGACAATACAAAACCTAATATACATAGAAGTGTGTACAATGAAATTAAAACAAAGGGTTCCGTGTATTATTACTATTTAATAAACATTTCCTGCAGAGCTGGAAACACCACAGTGTTGAACTAGTGCATAAGAAAAGGAAAGTAAAACAGACTCTAACCAGAAAGTGAAACTGACCAATTTAGAATCAGAGGGTTAGCCGTGTTAGTCTGTATCCATAAAAACAACGAGGAGTCCGGTGGCACCTTAAAGACTAACAGTTTTATTTGGGCATAAGCTTTCCTGGGTAAAAAAGTCACTTATTCAGATGCGTGGAGTGAAAATTACAGATAAAGGCATAAATATACTGGCACATGAAGAGAAGGGAGTTACCTTACAAGTGGAGAACCAGTGTTGACAAGGCCAATTCAGTCAGGGTGGATGTGGTCCACTCCCAATAATTGATGAGGAGGTGTCAATACCAAGAGAGGGAAAACTGCTTTTGTAGTGAGACAGCCACTCCCAGTCCCTCAGACAGTGAAAAACACCTTCCAGAGCTTTATCAAGCATTCTTAAAACTACAATACCCACCTGGGGAAGTGAGGAAACAGATTTACAAAGTGAGATGGGTACCCCGAAGTCACCTACTACAGGATAGGCCCAACAAGGAAAATAACAGAACACCACTGGCCATCATGTATAGCCCCCCAGCTAAAACCTCTCCAGTGCATCAACAATCTACAACCTATCCTGGAAAACGATCCCTCATTGTCACAGACCTTGGGAGGCAGGCCAGTCCTCACTTACAGACAGCCCCCCAACCTGAAGAAAATACTCACCGGCAACTACACACCACACCACAGAAACACTAACCCAGGAACCAATCCCTGTAACAAACCCTGTTGCCTTCTCTGTCCCCATATCTACACTAGTGACACCATCATAGGACCCAACCACACCAGCCACACTATCAGGGGCTCATTCATCTGAACATCTATTAATGTGATATATGCCATCATGTGCCAGCAATGCCTCTCTGCCATGTACATTGGGCAATCCGGACAGTCTCTATATAAAAGAATAAATGGACACAAATCAGACATCAGGAATGGTAACATACAAAAGCCATTAGGAGAACACTTCAGTCTCCCAGGACATTCAATAACAGATTTAAAAGTAGCCATCCTTCAAGAAAAAACCTCAAAAACAGACTTCAAAGAGAAACTGCAGAGCTACAATTCATTTGCAAACTTAACACCATTAATTTGGGCTTGAATAGGGACTGGGAGTGGCTGGCTCACTACAAAAGCAATTTTCCCTCTCTTGGTACTGACACCTCCTCATCAATTATTGGGAATGGACCACATCCACCCTGACCGAATTGGCCTTGTCAACACTGGTTCTGCACTTGTAAGGTAACTTCCTTCCTGTGCCAGTATATTTATGCCTGTGTCTGTAATTTTCACTCCATGTATCTGAAGAAGTGGTTTTTTAACCATGAAAGCTTATGCCCAAATAAATCTGTTATTCTTTAAGGACTCCTCATTGTTTTTGACCAATTTAGAGTCACACTGCAAGTTGAGTGAATAGAAAGAGTGGAAACACACAACTTACAAAGTGAAAGACATATGGTACCTGTCAGAGGACAAAGCTTCTGTCAGGAACAAAACAGAGATGGGCCTAGACCAAAATCGTAGCTCTGAACTTTGGAAAAATTTGGATCTGAATATGAATCCAAACTGCTCTTTATTTATCTGGGTGTTTATACGATGTTAACCATCCTAATTCCAGAGCAGCTCTGTGGCTCAGGCCCAGTTCTAGAATCAACATGCAGCATATCAGGGAAAATTTCCTAATGGTGGATATCTATTCATTTATTGTTTGCTGATGGCTGACAGCAAACTCAGTCCTGTAAGGATCACAGAGAAAGATGTGGTTCCTGCCCCTAGAAGCTAGTACACCTAAAACCATACAAATCAAACGCAAACCTCACTGGCCCCCCAACACAGTTTGACCAGTGGGAGGAGGATTTGCTATTTCCTTATACCCTTCTCACACTGCTGCCGCTCTGGTTTAGTCTCTTCTGACCACAGTAGAGCCTTCATGCCTCCTGACCTACTTAGCAGCGGTTTGGACGTTCATTTTGCTGGTTCCATGGGACCCCTGTCAGTGAGGCAACAAGGGGGTTTCCTTGTCATGTCTCGCTCCAACACCCTGCCCCCATCACCGACTCATTCTTCTTCAACAAAGAGCAAACTCCCTCTTACCTGATGCAGTGATTAAACCTTTTTTGAACTATTTCAATCTGATCTGGTGGACATGTATCTGTCTCCGTGTCCCCTGGGGCACACCCATGGTTCCAGTCTTCTTTGCTAGCAGCCCTATGCTTCAGAAACGTGTTTGATGCTCAGTTATGGTCTGTGGTTGTTGTTATGTACACTCATAGACATCAGTAAGAATGGACAGTGGAGCCAATCACAGTAGAGCTAGGCCACATGCTGCTATACTGTGAGTATGGGGGCACCTCCATTGACTTAAACTGAGATGCACCAGGGCTGAGTATGTCCTGTTTTGTTGTGCTTTAGATGGGAAATGGATTTAGGGATGTCATTTCTGGTAAGGTAAATCACAGGTTTGTATAGCAAAGCCACCTGGATGCCACATACGGTTTCTTTATAGCTAATCCTGTAATGCACCATTAACCAATACAGGAACACACCAAGTAAGGAAACAATTATCTTTACCTTCAAACTAAGAATGGGGAATATTTAGATTAAATATAAGGAAAGTTTCCTGGCATTGAAATATGGTGTACTGGGCTGTGGAACAGTCTCCCTATGGAGGTAGTGGAAACCCTGCCACTTGTGACTTTTTAAACTAGACCCCACCAGAAGATAGGAATTGCCAGATTGGATCAGACCAATGGTCTATCTAGTCCAGTAAACTGTCTGAGAGGGGCCAGACCCAGATGCTTCAGAGGAAGGTCTAAGAAGGCAAATATGGAATACTCTGAATTATATGGAGGCAGATTATGTGCTGTAAGGAACAACTTTGTACTGGCAGGGGTTGGCCTAGGCAATCAAATGGGGCTTTTCCAGTTATGAGTCTATAGAATATCAGCTTTTCTTACAGAAAAAGACACTAAGCTTAATCTTCTCCACAGGGGACTCCGGGGCTACTTCACAACAGTCAGAAAGAAAACCTGAGAATCCAGTCACCATAGTGCCATCTGACACAGCAGGTACCACTCATTAATGACTGTAACATATTTCTCCTATTGACTTCCATAGAAGCAGAAAAAGTCCAATGTTGAGTATTTTCAAAATCCCACCCATTAATGTTTTGTATTAGAGTTTGTCATCTTTGATTCAGACACAGCGGTTACAAAACCCACTAGCTAGGAGCAGTTGTTACTGTGTGATCAAATTTTTCATATTGCCCCAAAGAATTGGGAGAGACTGGTTTTCTCCACGCAGGCCCATTTTGTGCCATTGCAAATCTCACTGATGCGATAATAGCCACAGTGGGATAAAAATGGCACCTAGCTAACTGTCTGCCTCCTTTGGATTTCATAGGTTACTGTGGGATACCCAGCCCTGTGGAACATGCCACACCTACGGTGACACATTATGCCGTGGGTCAGGAACTGCATTACAAGTGTCTGAGCGGTTATAATGCTCGACCCCCAACCTCTGATATCAGCACATGTAAGGAAGAGCGTGGGAAAACCTTCTGGACCAGGCTAAGTCTGCTGTGCACTAATGACAGCAAGAGTGGAGAAGAGATGACACAACCGATTCCAATAACAGGTTCGACGGGGTGCTCTGGCATTGACTAGTCCCTGATGAATGAGGTGTTCGCTCCAGCTCAGATTCATTTCCCTTTGGGCCGGTACCAGCCATCTCCAGCTGGCTGTGACTCAGTGCCTCAGGTGTAGGGAACAATGTGGAATCTTCAGAGCTTCTGAACAGGATGTGGAAACCATCCCGGGGGAAGGGAAGAGGACATGCCATGCTGCAGTATAGTGCTGGGTTTCTTTCACCCTATAGTCACGTCACTAGGCACGTGGCTACCAGCAAAAGAAAAGATCAATTTGGGCCTAGATTGTGCCTGACCCTTGTGCAGAACCAGTTTCTCCAGACACGCTCCTGCCAGACAAGGAAAAAAGTCTCCGTATCATAGATGAGGTCTCCAAAGCCCCCCAATACAGCAGCATTAATTGCTACTTGTCAGAGCATATCCACCATTCCCACAACACACTGGCACTAGGTCACACACATGAAAGCTTCAGAAAATTATGTCTCATTGGAGCCCCTCTTGTAGCACTGAGGTTTAAGGACTTCATTGGGCTGTAGGCAGATCTATATAGGGTCTTTATACAGTCCTCCTTGCCACAGTATCTGAGCACCTCACAATCTGTCATGTATTTATCCCCACAACACCTTGTGAGGCAGGGCAGTACTATGACCCCTATTTTACAAATGGGGAACTGAGGCACACAGAGGTTAAGGCCCAGATCTAGAAATTAGTGGAGATATCCTATCTCCTAGAGCTGGAAGGGACCTTGCAAGGTCATTGAGTCCAGCCCCCTACCTTCACTAGCAGGACCAAGTACTGATTTTGCCCCAGATCCCTAAGTGGCCCCCTCAAGGATTGAACTCACAACCCTGGGTTTAGCAGGCCAATGCTCAAACCACTGAGCTATCCCTCCCCCCAATCTATAATTGATTTCTGTGGAAGTTAGGAGCCTAAGTATTGTTATGACTCTAGACCTAAGTCATTTGCCTAAAGTCACACAAGAAGCCTGTAGCAGAACAGGGAATTGAATCTTGGTTTCCTAATGTCTAAGCCAGAGGCCTAATGCCTGGACCATCCTTCCTCTCCAAGCTGACATGGAATAATACTGTGCCCCTTGGTGAGCCTATAGAATATCAGTTCACTCGATCCCAGTTCACTGGAAGCTGCAGTTTACATCACATTCATATATAACAGGCAGTAGACTGGGCACACTCGCAGGCTGGAAATGTTGATTGGTTGTTTAAAGAGCAAACATGGCAATTATAACATCTCTGTGTGATGAAAGTGAGCTCTCAGATGCAAGTGCCCACCTCAGCATGGCTCTGATTCCATGAATGACCATCCCTCCTCATTGGACGCAATACATCAATAATTAACAACAGGAATTTCTCTCTTTTTAGATACATCAGAGCTGTTCCATGTCCCATCAGTGATGTTTCCTGTCACAGGTACACCAGGCTCAGCTCATTCATGGGTGGTATTTCTCCCTCCTTTAGGACAGTCACTTTCCCCCCTTTAAATTTGTGACTCCCCTTAAGAGACCCAGCACAATCAGAACTAAGGAATATTTTGCACCACACAATAATCACCTACTACTCTGTGATGGATGTAAACCCCAAAGAAGGACATACATTGTTCAGGGTGGTAAATGGTATAAGCATTTAAGCCACTTAGGGTGGAAACTTCAGCACCTAAGGGCGTTTGGCGCCCGAGTCCCATTGAAAATCAATGTGCTGAGAACTGACAGTGAACTTGGCCCTGTAAGGATCACAGAGAAAGGTGCCAAGTATCGGGGGGTAGCCGCATTAGTCTGTATCCACAAAAACAACCAGGAGTCCGGTGGCACCTTAAAGACTAATAGATTTATTTGGGCATAAGCTTTCGTGGGTAAAGAAGTGAAGTGAAGTGAAGCGAGGTTTTTTTACCCACGAAAGCTGATGCCCAAATAAATCTGTTAGTCTTTAAGGTGCCACCGGACTCCTCGTTGTTTTAGAGAAAGGTGCAGCTCCAATCCACAATGCCAGCACCCCTAAAACTATACAAATCAAACCAAAGCTGCACCAGCCGAGCAACTAGATTGTAAGCTGTTTGGGACAGGGACTGACTTTTACTGTGTGTCTGTAGAGGAACTAACACAATGGTTCTGGTCTCGGTTGGGGCCTCTAGGTGCTACTATAATACCTATAATAAATAATAATAAGCGGGAGTGATGGAATGAAATTAAATGAACAGAGTAAATAGCATCACAAATATTTCCCATGATAGAGGCATTTGTATCCCAAGGCTATTTTGCAATGGCCTCACCATAACTGCAGTGGTGAATGCTCTTAATATGGATCTCTCTGGCGCTTCTGCAGGAGTTCTGCAGGAGGGCTGAGTAAACAGCACTGCCGTGGTGCTGGGATACAGCTAACTATCTCTTTCTCTATAGTGCAGGGAGGCGAGTTCCGATCCCTTTCCTTTGCATCTGAAGAGGTGGGTTTTTACCCACAAAAGCTTATGCCCAAACAAATCTGTTGGTCTTTAAGGTGCCACCGGACTCCTTGTTGTTTTTGTGGATACGGACTAACACAGCTACCTCCTGATACTGTCCCTTTCCTGACACCTATTTCTCTAAATTAACTTTGGGGAAACTGCTGTTTTCTTTAGAACCATGCTAATCACTCTGTAGTGTTTCAGACAATATCAGCAGCTAATAGATTTGATTTTTTGTGTCTTCTCAAAAGTTGCTGTCTCTGCTGTCTTCCCAATCATTTTCATCATTTTGGGGTGGATCATCGTACCGAAACTATGGTAAGTAGCATGGCATGGCAGGAATGAGTTAATTGAATCTAAACAATCCATAGCATACATGGAGTTATTAGCCACATCACTCCATACACAGCATAGGCAGGACTCATTGATGTATTCTTTTTATGATATAAATGATTAACTATATTAAATAAAGGCACAATGAAAAAATCAGGATTAACATCTTTAAGCTTGAAATGGGCACAAATCTGCTTACTCTGTGAACCTCGGCAATGAGTTTGTGAGACAGAGGTGTCAATAAGGGACTAAGTTGTCTAATAATGAGTGGACAACATTGCTAAGAGGTAAATGAGGTTTGATTGGTGCACATACACTGGATTTAAGGTGGATTTCACAACATTGATATAACAGGCATCACAGAAACTTGGTGGAATGATGACAATCAATAGGACACTATAATACTAGGGTACAAAATATATAGGAATGACAGAATAGGTCATGCTGGTGTGGGAGAGGTACTATCTTAGGAACTAGGGGTGCTGGGGGTGCGGGAGCACTCCCTGGCTTGAAGTGGTTTCCATCATATACAGGGTTTACAGTTTGGTTCAATGGCTCTCAGCACCCGCACTATACACTTTGTTCCAGCATTCCTGGGCACTATATGTGAAAGAAAGTATAGAGTCAAATATAGTAAAAATCTTAAATGAATCAAACTGTACCATAGAATCTGTATGGATAGAAATTCCATGCTTGAATAATAAGAATATAGCAATAGGAGTATATTACCGACTTGCTGACCAGGATGGTGACGGTGACTGTGAAATGTCCAGGGAGATTAGAGAAACTATAAAAATATAAACTCAATAATACTGGAGGATTTCAACTATCTGGGGGGGGGAGGGAAAAGGGGGTTCGGGCATGGGATGGGGGTTGCAAAGAAAACCTAAAAAACATGAATCAAGGTGCAGAGAAAAATGTGAGGAGGCGCTGCATTGTACATCAAGAATGTATTGTATACACTTGTTCTGAGGTCCAGAAGGAGATGAGAGGCAATAAGAACATAAGAATGGTCATACTGGGTCAGGCGAAAGATCCATCTAGCCCAGTGTCCTGTCTTCTGACATTGGCCAATGCCAGGTGCCCCAGTTCGAAGACCAGTTGAAAGCCTCAGGGTGAAGATACAAGGGCAAAAAATAGGGGCAATATCATGGTAGGGGTCTACCACAGACCACCAAATCAGGATGTATATAGAGAACATGAAAAACTGGGAGTTTCCTTACCAACTCTAAGAGGCTAATTAATTAAGATGAGCAATTATCAGCAGGAGAAAAAAAACTTTTGTAGTGATAATCAAGATGACCCATTTCGAGGCCTGGATGAAAGTTAGCTAAAAAGGCTCAGTCCAGATAAGACTGAGATGATTCTGATAAGATGATGGAATCAGTTATTGTCGGTCGTGTTTCTTATCATCTGTATTTGGCAAGCAGGTTGTGCTCTTTCCTTTCCGAGGGAGGAGCTCAGCAGTTCTCGGTGCCTTTTTCATCATTATTGCCTTGTGCCTAACATAGGGCTGGCCCCATCAAACCATTCAGAAACAGCAGCAGGCACTTACACGGAAGGCACTCTGTTCCAGGGCTGTGTCGCCACTTCTGATCAATTTCCAGTTTAAGCTTAATATATTTGTTTCCATTTTTAAAATCGTAATTGCTTATTTTAAATGAATGGTGCACCTGAGCTCCAAGGTTTTGTTTGCTAAAGATGGCTGCAACACCCACTCCCTTCTATCCTCTACCAAAGAACTTTCAGGGACATGCTGCATTCTAACCAAAGGCTGTGATTTTACTGTCTTGCTACAGGAGACGGAGGAGTTTGACAGAAGACGTAAAGATTGAAAAGACCAAGTCCATTCTAATAACAGCAGCAAGAGTGGAAATGGAGGACGAGGAGGAAGCTCACAGACTAAAATCCAATATGTGAAGGAAGTAGCAGATGTTTCACTTTAATGCTCGAGTTGGATTGCAGTGGGACAGACTGGTTCCTGCCTAGAGCCAAGCTATCTGAGCTCTCAGTGCTAGGAAAAGACATATAGCACATGGAATATGGGCTGTATTGTTATTAACAAAGAACTTCTTTCACGTTCATTTCAAGTTGCTACTATGTATGTATCTTGAAGAACATTAGAGTTAAAAACCTAAACAATTAAAAGTATGGAAATCACCTGTTAAGAGCAAGTAAATACATATTCAAATATATTCATAGTTTATATAATCTCTTTTTTAAAAGGAACATGTGTAAAATATCACATTGGATATTCCAGAAATAGCCTTCAATCTGCCCCTCTATACCTGCCCAACCTGAAATTGTTTACCAGAAATGCTCTTCACCCTCCTCTCTTATATCATATGTATTTCCAATAGGGGCTATAAACTGGCACAAACTACCAGCCAGCACATGTGGTCCACAGGCCTAGAGGAAAACCCAGTACACCCCAATCACTCTTTTCATGTGAGCTGAAAAGCTCATCATACCCTCTTCCTCCTCTCACTGTGAACCAGAGGCTTCACTTTGCACCTACAGATCACACATCCATCTTCATCCATCCCCTCTACCCTTATATTCAGACTATCCCATTGATCAGAGCAGGCTAGTACATTGTTTAGCATAAAGGAAAGAAAGGTGTTGGCCTTGTCTTAGAGCAGTGCTCCCCAAACTGTGGGGCTCACCGCCCTACGTGGGCGCAGAGGAACATTGGGGGAGGGGCATGTGGCAAGTCCCGGGCCAGCCCCCACAGGGGGCAGGGAGGGAGTGCCACCCAACCCCACTCTGACCTAAGCCCAGTTCCAGCTCCGGCCCCAGCTCCACGCCCCCCCTGCTCTGCCCCCAACCCAGCTCCAGCCCCACTCTGCCTCCTGCTCCGCCCCCAGCTCCAGCCCCAGCTCCACTCCACCCCCAGCCCAGCTCTGCCCTCATTCCCTCTTTGCCCCCAGGCCAGCTCTGCTTCTAGTTCCAGCTGCTCCCCCATCCCCCATTTAGCCCCCAGCTCCGCCTTTAGACCAAGCAGCTCTGCTGAGCCAACTGTGCAGTAATGAATGGGGGAAGCGGACAGATTCCATTACTGGTAAGGGGGATGCAACAGGAAACGTTTGGGCACCACTGCTGTCCAGTGTATCAAGAAGTACTTGACAGCTCATTCTGCCAAAGTACTTGGGGCCCTGGTATACAGGGGCAGAATTAAGTATGACTTTGGAATACACAAACTGATATTTGACATATACATTTATTTCTGGGATTGTATGAACTGCAAGTGCATTTGAATATTTATCTACCTTCCCGTAACTGCTCATCTTATACTATTGTAGACTACTAGCATCTTGGGGTGACTCCAAGAATGGGAACTACAGCATCCTGACTCAGCCTTATATTCTGCACCACTGGCTTGTTAATTCTTTTCATTTTTTCTCTTGCTCAGTATTCTTGATAATTACACTTTACATGGTTGACACTGAATCCTATTGGGATAGACTTAGCTCATTATATGAATAGCTTTGTTAAGGTGGACAGCTGATTATCTAATCTCAGTGCATTATAGAATGCTTGTGCAACATTTTACCTTTAGATGCTATTATTTTGGGTGGGAAAAGGAGAAGTTCTATATTTATGTAATAGGGTGGATTGTTCACACCCTTCAGCTGCTGCAAGGGCTCCGAGTCCTGGCAGATTGGGATACAATACACTGCCTTGTTCCTAAATGATCTGACCCTCTTGCTACTTATTGCTTGCAGTTCCCTAATATTTACATTATACTTTGCAGATGTTTCTGGCATATATATGCTGGCTGGCAGTTGGTCCTGCTCTGCACAGCTGGTTCAGTGGGCTCTTCTGCTCTGAAAAGCTCACTGGAGAAAACAATCCTTCATCTGTCCTAAGGTGCACATTATTATGGAGAGTTCTCCATAATTTCTCCAAGAAATAACTGCACTGTTATATGTCCCAACTGCCTTGAAGCTTGTCCACTCTCCTGCTGTCTGGCTGGCTCATGAGTTCCCTCTCATGTCCTGTTATTTCTTTGTTTCTTGAAAGTGTACTTCTCAAAGTTGAAAGAGATGAGCTTTCGAGCTACACAGAGTTCTGCCTCAGGTCTGGGAAAGGTCATCAGTGTCACAGCTAAATACAATGTGGAACAGACTGTTAAGCATAAGGAGTTAACACATGTTGCAAGAGACCATTCAAAATGAAGTTGGCAGTTAACACCTCTGAAGTCATAGGACAAAAGAGGGTTAGTAGGTTACAGATTGTTGTAATGAGACATAAAACCGGAGTTCATGATTTCTGGTGTCTAGCTGAGGCTATGTTTACACTCGCAATTGAAAGACAAAAGTTTTGCTGGCGACAAGCACCAGTGTGAACAGCACTTTCTTGGCAGGAGCGCTCTCCTGCCAACAACACACAAGCCGCTCATTGGGGGTGAAATTTTTTTGTCGGTAGGAGAGCTGACAAACAGCAGCTACACCGCGCGACTTTTAGCGGCACAGCTGTAGCAACACAGCCATGTCGCTAAAAGCTGTGTAGTATAGACAGAGCCTGATTGTGAAGGCCAGAAGAGCGGGTTCCCAGGTAAGCTCCCAGGTTTGACTTTTGAAGGTGTTGTGCAGGTTTCCTGTGAGGACGAGGACTGATTGAGTGCCACTGCCCAGGTGGTGGCAGGGTAGGAATCATGGGGACACTGGTTGGCTTATAAAATTTACCACTAAATGACCATGGTTCACAATTTCTGACCAACTCTTCAATGTGACTATCAATTCCTGGCCACTATACCACTGTGCGACACCTCTGCTTCGTACATACCACCCCATGGGGCCCTTTGTGGACAGTGCGCCAGCACTTCTCCTCACATGGCCTTTGGTACTATCACCTGGGAGCCCCAAAGGAGACCATGGTGACAATTCTTGTCTCACATGAAAATAAGCCCCAAAATAATCTGGAACCGTTTTTGGCCAACCCTGACGAACATATTTGAGAACTTCTTGTAATACCACAGCCTTGGGCAGTGCCTCTAACAATGATTTGGGAGTGACAAGAGAGAGAGAGAGACCAGTCAAGGCATAGCCTTTTCCTGGCTCATAACCCCTCTTTCTGTGGGTTTGTCAGGTCAAGCCCAGGACACATGACCAGCCACCTGATTGAGTTTACCCAGATAGTATGGTTCTGAGAAATTGTACTGATGTAGGCGATCAGCCTATTTTTTTTCTGTATTCTGCAAGTCTACCTGGATGGCATTAACAGTGTGGTTAACACCCAGTTCTTCGATGTGTAAAGTGAAAGTGAAGCCATGCAAATAATGATGCACTTTTCATACGTCCATATGCATGCTAGGGCCTCCCGCTCCCCGGCTGACTATTTCTGCTCAGCTGAGAGGTGTTGCCACTGGGAGTTTCACCCCCTGGTGGATCTGGGAGAGCACAGCACCAGGAGCCACAGGTGAGGCATCACACCTGACAAAAGTAGGGTCTCAGAAGGCATAAGGCAAAGTATGCCAGTGTGGGAGCAGATGTACTATGTTGTTTGAGGTCGGTGGCATGGTTGTATAATTGGGGTGGCCAGTGAAACCACCCATGGATGATGCTTATAGCTACGGCAACATCCAATACCAGAGGAGACGTTGGGGAGTATGTCTCTCCAATTGTTCCCCACAAGGTGGATTTCTGTATTCTGCAAGTCTAATACTTCAAAGCTCAGTGTCTGGAACAGATCCAGTCTGAGAAGGTTGACCCCAGAATGGACCACATAACATGGGACCATTCCCACTTCTTGTTGATGATATGTCACATAGCGATCTATCTTGACCAGCAAAGTGATTTTCACATTGCCATATCCAGATAGCGTGGACTGCACTGGCCGCAAGGCGAAATAGGCAAAATATCTATGGTATGTGGTGTATTTTATGAGTCAGATCGTGTTCCAGTGTCCAATAGCAGCAGTGTCTCCACACGCGCTAAATGGCAGGGGCAGATTTTAAAACTCTTCTAGGCCCGTGTCACCAAGTTGATCCCCTGAGCCATGGAATCATCGGTGGGGATGAGGTAATTGTGATGGTGTCATCATTTTTATGAAATAATTCTTTTAGGCGGAGTCAGCGGAGTCTAGTTCTCCACAGAAGAAATAAAAACCCCTCTGACCACATACCTAATTGTCACATACCATCCCACATTAGAACTCATCAGGGAACCTGAAATAAATCTTTCATGAACCACCTCTTCTGGCCTTCTAACATCCCCACACCCACCAACCTCACCAAGCTCATCATGAGAAGCAAGTTCCTCACATATCAGGACACACCAACTCAAAGCAGCGCCAGACCCTGCCAGAACAACAGATGCAAAACCTATAGACATATCGCCACTGTTACAATGATCAACCCTCCCACCCACAACACACCTTTTGAGATCCGTGGGTCCTACACATGTCAATCCCAATATGTGATGTACCTCATCCAGTGCACTAAATGCCCCGATAACGACTATGTGGGTGAAACCAGACAATCTCTATGCTCTTGAATGAACTCACACAGGAAAATGATAATAGACAAAAACAACTGTTCACCTGGGGGTGAACACTTTTCACAAAGCGATCACTCTATATCTGACCTCTCAGTCGTCATCCTCAAAGGAAACCTGCACAACTCTTTCGAAAGACGAGCCTGGGAGCTTAAATTCATAATTTTGCTGGACTCTAAAAATCACGATCTTAATAAAAACTCTGTATGTGTGTGTGTGTATATATCTCCTCAATATATGTTCCATTCTGTACATCCAAAGAAGTGGGATGTAGCCCACGAAAGCTTATGCTCAAATAAATTTGATAGTCTCTAAGGTGCCACAAGTACTCCTGTTCTTTTTGCGGATACAGACTAACACGGCTGCTACTCTGAAACCAATAAAAACACTGGTTTTATGGCTTATTACAACAATCCCCCCATTTTTGTCCTATGACTATAGAGGTGTTAATGGGCCACTACACCCTGAATGGTTTCTTAGAATATGTGCTAACTACTTATGCTAAAATATCTGTTCAACCTTGTATTTAGCTGTGACCCTCTGAGTATCTTTCCCAGACCTCAATAAAAGCTTTGTGTAGCTAGAAAGCTAGTCTCACCAACAGAAGTTGGTCCAATAACAAATATTACCTTACCCACCTTGTCTCTCTTATTGTAGAGTGGAAGTGTTAAATGCTTTCAGGCAATATTTGAATTTTTTATTTATTCTTTTCTCTTTGCTAAGGTTCAATTCCTCACTGATTTAACTAATATTTAGAGGATGTGTTTTAATGATTGCAAGTAAAATTCACAGTGTATGAACGGTCATAGTGGGTCAGACCAATGGTCCATCTAGCCCAGTATCTTGTCTTCTGACAGTGGCCAGCGCCAG